AGCAAATGCTACAGATCTTGCTGTACTCAAGCCACGGGCCCCGTTCTATGGCTCACATAACACAGGAACGCACTATGGCTTCCTGCCATTGCTTTACCAGCATGGGCATAATTTCCCGCTTTCCCTTGGTTAATTAAAAGCAAATACCTCTTTGCAAGGCAGATAGCTGCTCTGTCAGTCACGCCAGGATGCAGGGGCCTCGCTGTGTGCGATTTTTAATTGAATGACTCCTACTCCTGCGACCTCTGGGTCTTTCATTAATCAGTTATATACACAGGGAAGGTGAAGCTTAATGAGGTGTGTGTCAGGCACTCTGACACGGAGTGGCCTAGGTGGATAAATGTGCTGTTCCACATTTTGATAAACTGACATTCAGCATTTTGTGGTCCACGTAATGTCAGTTTGCAATGATTCTAACAAATGCAAAGACAGTTTATCTGATGTCAAGAAAAAACCTCTTAGCAGCAGGAACAAATAATTTCCTGAGCGTGAGAACATCATGATGACATTATGTTAGCTGTGTCCTAGAGTCACACCAGGAGTGACTGAGCCATGTGGTAGGTGGGAGAAGAGAGGTGTAGTTCAGCCCTACTTCAGTGAGAGTCTGAATAATGGTTATCAAACCTGGCGGCTCTGGATCCAGACTGTGCATCACATTGCAACCCAGCAAAATTACCTAAATGCTCTGTGCCTCAGTTTTCTTATCAGTAAAATGAGCATAATGATAGTGCCTATCTCATAAGGCTGTTGTGAGGATGGAATGAATTAATACAGAGAAATGTAGAAAAGGATCTGGGATATATAGATGCTTATGAAATGCCAATTTCTATATTTGTGTGCTTCTGTCTGTTACTTGACAATGTCAACAAAATGTGGTGTTTAGAATGAATGAATTTAGGTGTTCTCTTGGGCAAGAGACGGGTTTCTTTTACTTTTCCTCCAAGGAATTTAATGCTTAGAGTTGGTGGTTAAGAACACAGAGGCCACAAATCAGGCTGCCGGTCTTTAAATTCCAACTTGCCTTGAAATCCTGGGCTAACTTGGGAAGTGTGCACGCAGGAGGGAAGATTCCAAGAAGCTTGGTGGAAAGCAAGAGCTGGAAAACTAAAAGAACTGAGCACAGATCCGAGCTTATGCCAAGTTAGAGGAGCTTGGTAAACACCTCAGGCTTGCTATGGAAGCCTCAAAGTAAAGACTATATTCCAGGATGAAGGGATTTACTCTGGACTATGGGCAAAATCAAAACAGATCCCCACACTGACAAAATGGAAAACAGAGACTCTGTAAGTTCAAGCTGATCAGTCAGCGATTTAACTGGCTTTTAGGACAAAGCTCAACATGCTTCAGAATGTCAACAACATATCATCCCACAATGTCTAACATACAATAAAATAATTATTAGTCATATGAAGAAACAGGAAAATGTGATGCATAGTCAAGGGAAAATCAGCCAAATAGAAACATTCACCCAAAGATGACCCAGTATTGAAATTAGCAGATAAAGATCATAAGGCAACTGTTAAGTCAAGGACTTAAAGGAAAAGATAGTCATATTGAACGAACAGATGGAGAATTACAGCAGAGAAACAAAGCCTACAAAAAATAAGCAAATTTAAACTCTAGAACTGAAAAGGAAAATATCAGAAGTACAGAATCAGTCCATAAGATAGGTTTAATAGCAGATTGGAAATGGTAGAAGAAAGGGTAGATAAACTTGAATACAGACTAATAGAAATTATCTGATGTGTCAACTGGAGAGAACAGAATCTCAGTGACTTGTGGAACAATATGAAACAGTCAAATATATATGTTATTGGAGCCTTAGAAGGAGAGGAGAGAGAATGGGGCAGAAAAAATATTTGAGGAAATAAGGGCAAAAATTTCCCAAATTTGATTTAAAGCATATATTGACAGATTCAATGAGCACAGTGAGCCACAAGCACTTTAAGGACAAAGAACAAACACAAACATCTAGACACATCAAGTGAAACTGATGAAAACCAGAATAAAAAGAAAATCTTACAACCATTCAAAGAATAATGACACATCACACACAGGAGATCAACAATTTGAATTTTTGATAACTTTTCATCAGAAACAATGGAGGGAAGAAGACAATGGAAAAACATCCTTAAAGTGTGGAAAGGAAAATGTATCAACTCAGAATTCTATGTCCAGCAAAAATATTCTTCAAAAATGGAGGCAATGCAAGGCATTTAAAAATAAAATGAAAGCTAAGAAAATTTGAGGCCAGCAGACCTGGACTAAAAGAAATGCTAAAGGAAATTCTTCAGCTGAAAGAGAAATGACACCAAGTGGAAACTTGGGTCAAAAGAAAGGAGTGACGAATAACAAAAATGGTAAATTTGTGGGTAAGTGTAAAATACTACATTTTTTCCTCTTAATTTCTTTAAAAGACAAACAACTAATGCAAAAATAACAATACTCTAATGTGGTGTTTAAAACATTTCTAGATGTAAAATGTATGATAAAAGCATAAAGGACAAGGGATAATAAATGGATTACACTATTATAAGGTTCTCACATTTTATGTAAAATAGTACAGTATTAACTCTATGTAGACTATGATAAGTTAAAAATGACTATTGTAATCTGTAGAGCAATCACTAAAAAATAAGAAAGAGGCATTGCTAAGAAGACAATTGAGGGATGCAAATGAAATACTAAAAAGTACTGAGTTAACCCAAAAGAAGGCAGGAAAGGAGAAACAGAAGAATGAAAAAAGAACTGGAACATATGGAGAAGAAACAGCAAAATGGTAGACCTAACTCAACCATAGGAATAATTGCAATGAACGTAAACAGAGCCGATGCTCCAACTCAATGGCATATGTTGTCAGACTGAATAAGAAAGCAACGCTCAACCACGTGCTATGCGCAAGAAATGCACTTCCACTATAAAGACATTGAAAATAAAAGAGTATAAAAAAAGCTGATGCGGCTCTATTAAGAGCAGGCTAGACAGACTTTAAGACCAAGAGTATTACTAAGACAAAAAGGGACATTCCATCACGATAAAATAACCAATCATGAAGACATAACAATCCTGGACGCGGCTGCATCTCATAACTTCAACATCTGGGAGACAAAGACGGAACTGAAGGGGAAAATACAGAATCCCACAGCCATGGTTGCGGGTTTAACACTCTCTTTCAGTAATTGATAGGACAAAGAAACAACAACAACAAAACAATTAGAAAATGAAAAAGCTAGTTAGAGAATGAGAGAAAACATTCGTAATACATGTATCTGACAAAGATCTTGTATCCAGAATATGTAAAGAACTCTTACAAATGGCAAGACCAATAGTCCAGTGGAAAGTAGGCAAATGGCTTGAACAGACATCTCAAAAAAGAAGTTATACAAGGACCGAAAAGCACCTGAAAATGGTGGTTCACAGTTGTACACATTTTTCAAAGCTCATGAAAATATACCCTTAAGATTTGTGCAATAGTGCAGGAGGATAAAGAAGAGAAGGACCTAGGTTTGAATCCCGATTCAGCCGCTTGAACTCGGTAGCCTTGGGCAAGTTACTAAGGTCTCAGAGCCCCATCTCTTTATCTGTAAATGGGGATTAGGACGGACTCTTCACTGGGCTGCTGTGAAGGTTCCATAAAACGAAACAAAGCTGTGAGACACCCAGCCCTGTGAGGCGCTCTATTAAATAGCTCAACAGTCTTTATTCTCTGTCGACCTTCTTCCTCTCCTTTCTCCCAGTTCTTCCAAATTCCTTTCCATGGATTCCTTTAGGACCAGCAAGGGAGAAATGGAGAGCGGGGAATGTCCTAACTTGCCACAGGGTTGGACCATTTGGCTAAGGGAAGAAACCCCATCACCATCAGTTTCCCACTTATGGCCGCTAGGATGATACAGAAAAGGAACCATTCCTATGAGCAACCGTTTATTATAACCACTCCCCATGCTTTAGAGGCCCCTGGAAAGTGTATGCAGAACTGACGTCTAGCCCCACATATGGGATGGTCCCTGCTCTGTGTACATTTTGATATAGCAAAAGCTGGCTATCTGGCATTCTAGCAACTAAAAGCGAATTGAACAGCAGAAGGATAACCTTGAGGTACTCAACCAAATAAAAATGAAATCTTGTGAAGTTGTAATATCACATATAAATATTCTGTACCAAAATGCTTTAAAACTTGGTAATCCTTGTGTGTGTGTGTGTGTGTGTGTGTGTATATATACATATATGCATATTGCGTCTATATGTAACTGTGATTATCTATCTATCATCTGTCTATCATCTATCATCCGTCTATCATCTATCTATCACCATCATCTTCTATATCTGAACTATATAAGAGAATCATTGCTTTTAGGGTCGACAAAGCACCTCAATATCATTCGGTTTGACTCGTTCATTTTGGTGATGACAAAACGGAGATCCAGGAAAGTGAAGAGCTCATCTAAGATAAGAGCTGCGGAGTGCATGGATCTTTTAGGACACTGGGTTCTCTAGCCCTGCCATATAAATGAGCATTTACATTACTGTGGTCAGCTTGGCTTCCTGCAGGCTCCTCTTATTAGCTGTGTCAGGAGCTGATGTGCAGAAGGTACCATACATTGGCAATTGATCATGTGAGAAAGAATACCCCAAAATGCAAATATCTGATGCCATTATTGAGGGGAGATGGGCTAAAAACAGATATCATCGATTTAATTTTCAATGAGACGTGGGAGCATTCCAGGAAGGATTCCTGTGGCAGGAGGAGGCTGATCTGGATGGCACAGCAGGGTGTTTATGCAAAGAAAGAAGCTTTCTCTAACTTTTGGATGCTCAGCCAGATGCAATAAGTAAGTAATTTACAGGAGGATGCAATCGGGAGGTTTAAGAGGGACGTGCCTGTCAGCCAAAGGAAATTAACTGCAAGGGTCCGTGCTAGCTGCTTTAAGGAAACTAATTGCAGGATTTGAAAATGTAGTTTGAAAGACAGAGAACTGGAAACCAAGACATGTAACAGATACCTTGAAGACCATATGCAGCATCATTTGGAGGCCATTTTTGCCGGGGTATTTCCCCGCAATGTTGGCTGCGGACAAGTCGAAGAGGTTGGCTCCCGTTTCGGTACAGATGGCATGGACCAGCATTTTCTTCCCTACCCCCGACGGCCCTGCCAACAGCAGGGATTTCACCAAAGGAGCTTTCTCGTGCACTGCTGCAGAACCTAAAAAAGGCAGAGGAAAGGCTCTAAAGTCCTGCCAAGAAAATATGTGGTTCCTAGACTCAGATTCCTCAAGGCCATGACTCCACGGATCGACCCCCGTTTCTGCAACAGTGATGGATGTGTTGAAAGTATTTCGAAGCAGAGGCACGCCTTCTGTCTCAGCTGGCTCACCTTTAACGTCTATGTCGGGGCTCGAGGTGCAGCCATAGGGTCTCCCTGGGTATTCGGTACATCGCTTCTCTCCTATCCCTCATCCTAGTATTTTCCCCAAACTCATAAATTTAAAGAACATTCCTGCAATAACTTACCTCTGGCATTTTTCGGGGAGGGGGCTGGAGGCTTCTCTGCTTGTCAGCGGCAGCATTACATCCTTTGAAAGCTTGGCAAGAGGAATGTGGAGGCGGGTGGGGAGGTGGACTGGGGAGTGTTCATTAGTTGTTCTTAGGAGGCAAAAGGAAAAACCAAGATCCAGGTGGCAGTAGCCTGGACATTCTTCTGCCCTGGTGTCTAGCCTGTCGGTACAGGCAGAGTCAACCTGACACCTGATAATAAAGTGACTTGAGTTATTATGCAGTCACTCTATGCCTCGTGCTCTCAACCACACTGTCCACCTCCTTCGAGCCCAGATTGGGACTCTGGCTTGAGTATCTTCTGTGCTCCTGAACCCAAGTGGAGCACTTGTGGGCACTGAGTAATTATAAAGTGGATGGAACTAAATCCTGGCAAGTGCTTGTGATGGAAACATTGACCATCATGCTAGTTTGCTTTTGGTCAACTACTGGGTACTTTTTTTTTTGGTGAGGAAAATTGGTCCGGACCTAACATCTGTGCCCATCTTCCTCTACTTTGTGAGACAGTGCCACAGCATGGCTTGATGAGCAGTACATAGGTCCACATCTGGGATCCAAACCCGCGAACCCTGGGCCGCCAAAGCAGAGCTTGCCAACTTCTGGGCACTTTTTGATCAGCTGCAAAATATATCAATATTATACTAATTATTGAGCTTTCCTTTTTTTTTTTCTTGTGTAGTTGAAAAGATATAAGGAATTTACCTAATAATTAGAAACAATTTTTATGGTTACCTACTATAGTCCACATAAACTTGGAAAATAGTTTTGAGCAAGTTCTGTTTCAAATGAGATTACTAGGCTTGCTTTATTTGCGATTAGTGAGGAATACAGTCAAGTAACGTGATAAAGGAGACACCGTCTTCCAGGACAGGAGAGAGATGCCATTCCTTGGGTCTTCCGTTCAACTCCTAGGTATTGAGGGCTGTTCAGTTGGTGTCCTGGCCGGGGCTGTTGGGGGTTCCAATGCGGAGAAGCCTCAGGATTTGCTGTAAAGAGTTTATGGTCAGGAGGGGAGCTAAACCTGAGCGGATGTGACTAGAACGGGAGGCGAATAGTGCTAAGATCCATGAGAGCCACAGAGAGTTCAGAGAGGAAACTAATGCCAGCTTGGCGGATGGGGTGGCTCAGGCCGGACTTCAGGAGAGGGTGGCATCTGATCTGGCCTCTGAAGAAGGGGCAGAATTGGAACGTGTAGTGAAGGGGACGTTTGAAAAGATTCCAAGGGAGCGGGGACACGATGACGGCAGGCCTGGAGCGGGAAGTCAGGTGGGTACTGGGTGAAAGGCAGATAATTCTGATTGGCAAGGTAGCAGGGGACAGCAAGGGGTGGGGACACAGACTGCTGCCAGCCATAGAGGTCCCTAGAAGGTAGTTGGGGGCTGCAGATTTGCTGAGGGTGCTGGCTGAGGCCCAGGGGCAGGGAGAGGTCCTGAGAGGGGTGGGCGGAGGACAGAATAGTGCTGAGGACAGAATCTGGGGAGGGGGCAGCAGCAGGGACAGGCACAAGGGCGGGAAAGACCCAGGAGCATGTGTGTCATTTACTCCATGGAAGTGACTTTCCAGAATGAAGGGAGTGGTCACCAAGGTCATTCAGAGAGGTGAAGAGGCCGGTCCAGGAAGGCCTCTGCACCTGGGGTGTCGCTGACTTCTGGACAGCGCATCAGATGGGGTTGGGGTGGCTGGGGAGTCAATAGGGGCACACAGGTCAGTGCCCACAGCTCTTCCTGTCCATTTCACTTTTTAATGGCGGTTTTAAAAAAATCTGTAGACTGACTAAGAGACAGAGGAAATCTGCAGGCTTTTGTGCATTCACCCTTCTCAACGTTGGCAGGGTTAAAGATTCACAGGGAGGCCAGTGTCCTGTGTCCTAACCCTGGACTCTAAAACGCTTACTCATCTGTAAAAGCAGGTCCAATGTCCACCTGGATGGGTTCTGCTGGGAAGTGAGACAACGTATTAAAACTCCTGAGCAGCTGTTTCTGCTCCGTGAGCACCCTTGCCCCTTCCTTCTCTCCCTCCACGCTCTGGGGGGACAGTAATATTTCCTGGACAAAGGGGGAATGCTGCCCAGGTGCTTCCTGGGCATTCCCTTATCTGCCCAGGGGGCTTTCAAAGCTTTAATCAGGTCCTAGGAGCCCAGGCTGAGGCTCCTGAAAGCCTGGAGGCCAGCAGGAGCTTGTGAGGCTTGGCCAGGGCTGGAGAGTGGCCTTGCAGTGGGTCCTCAGTGCCCTGTGCCGAGCGACCCCATTGGTTCGTCCTGGCAAGAGTGACCTGAGCGACTGGGGCCAACAAGCACACTCCTTTTTGTAACAGGATCCTACTTTGCATGTATGAAATTTCAGCGAAGCACTCGAAGGCTGATCAGCGAATGCACTTCTCTGTCATCCTGATCTGGTTGTGCATTACACACACACAGACCGGTCATGAGAACAAGTGCCCGCTGCCTGTGGTCCTGGAGAGGTCGGTAGCCCATAGGGACTTCAGGGTCCTCACTGACGAAAGGAGGGTCTGAACAGGATGCTTCCAGAACAACCTTCTTCTGATGCTTTCTAGCCAGCTTGGACACGACATCCGTCACCTGGAACCCGCCAGCCGAGGATGAAACATCCCACATTCTCATTTGTGAGGAATTCTGTTAAAAACCAGTCAGCTCATGGGGCTGGCCCCGTGGCCGAGTGGTTAAGATCGCGCGCTCCGCTGCAGGCGGCCCAGTGTTTCGTTAGTTCGAATCCTGGGCGCGGACATGGCACTGCTCATCAGACCACGCTGAGGCAGCGTCCCACATGCCACAACTAGAAGGACCCACAACGAAGAATATACAACTATGTACCGGGGGGCTTTGGGGAGAAAAAGGAAAAAATAAATAAAAATCTTAAAAAAAAAAAACAAAAAAAAAACCAGTCAGCTCTTCGTGCTCTCTGTTCTACCACCTTACAGCTGTGATAAAGGTTGAGAGCTAATCTACTTATTTTATTTACAGGAACACCATAAATATTTATAGACATTATGTTTTATAAATAATATAAAATTATATCTATAACATATATTATAAATAATAATATAAAAGTATTTATTTGTTGACCCCAAAAGTATTATATATTTATTATATATACATATATATTATTTATGTTGGCCCCAAATTCCATTTTCTACTTCTGGCATTAAGTTAAAAGAGGAATGAACTATTTCTTGCCAATAGGTTTACATTCTTAGTTAAGTAAAGTGGAACAATATTACGTGTCCAAACTATTTCCATCTCATTTTAAAGCAAATTAAAGAAACAAAATGTGATTTCTATTTCAAAATTGTCACCAGAGCACAGCCTGGCTGGAGTTCCTGCCTCTGCCCCAGGTGAGTCAGGCCATACATGTAGTCATAAAAAATAAACGTGAATGAGGGCAGCAGACATGTCCGTTACGGAGAGCCCACCCTCCTGGCACCTCTGGTGCACTGCAGAGCCTCGGGCCGTCTGTCTGAACAATCACGATGGAATCTCATTTAGCACTTAGACTGGACTTCAGTGAAAACTGGCAGAGCCTTGATCCGTTAGGTCCATGAAGCACACTGTCACTGACTCCCGAAGGGCCAGTTCTGTAAGGGACCGAGTAACAGAAGCCTGTGTGTAACAGGCAGGCCTAGCTTTAGCCCTTTGCCTAGTTGCTTAATTGTAGTTGCAGGTGCTTGCTTTGGCTGCGATCTCTCCAGAGGACGGCCGACAGGACCTTCGGCCCAGAATGTTAAGCAGGCCTTCAACAATGGTACAGACATGCTCCTGGGTAGGGCCTTTCTGTGGGCTCCGGGATGCACCGTCGCAATGGAACTAGCCTCCCACAGAATTCTCAAGAGGAAGAGTTAAGCCACAACGCACTTTGACACCAGCCAGGAAGACACCGTCAAAGCCAGCAAGCAGCACACCCCTGCTTCTGGAAAAGGCACAACAGGGCGCGAGGAGTCTTTACCTAGTGGCAAGACCCCGTACAGGGCGATGAGCTGTCTGACATCCAAGAGGGAAGGCATGGGCTCTATAGACACCTGGCGAAGAGTAGTCCCCAGGTAGCTGTACTCACCTGGGGAGAGAAGAAGCAGAGGACACATGAATGGGAAACCATGCTGGTCAGAGCTGCGTAATTTCAGCACTTGCATAATTAACACAGAACACAAATTGAACATTTCTGAGCAAATATAATCTTATTATGGAGAGTCACTATGAAGAACACATTTTTGCTCAGATAAAGCCTTGAAGAAATTTTGAATATTGCTACATGGCTATAGTAAAATGCTTTATTTTGACGATGATACTAACCTTCTAATATTTTTTTAAAATAACCTTTGAATATTGGCTACGTGAAGTGGAACCAAGTTCTAAAATGAGGGACATGCAAAGAAGACTACAATAGAGCAGGTTTTGTTTTATTTCTATTCCAAGAGATTACGTCTAACATTTGTGCAAAGTTTAAAAATAAATTATTTAAGATCGGGGCGTGAAATTTGTACTGGAGCAGTGTAAAATGGGAACCTGAAATATAATCATTTGAAAGGAAAGATATGAGTCTAATTTAGGATAAACAGAAACAGCTCCTTTGGAGGGTAATATTCATTTACATTTTTATCATTTTTAAAGGATTACCCAAGGAATAATACAGAAATAAATCTTTACAGGTTTAATTAGAAAGCATCAAAGGGCTTAATTGCAACCAGTCATAAATCTGAAGTGTTATTTTCTAACTAATTTAGATAAGGTCACCAAGAAAATTAGTTTGGCTGTCGCCATTTGTCATGAGGATGGACCTTTACACACTCGTACGAGTCTCTCTTGATGTACCTGAATCTGAAAGGAAAATATTCAAAGAATGGATCACAGTGTCTCGATCATTTCTTCTGACTTTTCCTTTCTATAACAAGGATGAATCTTACAGAGCTTTAGATGTTTCAAATGCGTGACAAACACATTTACGTGTATAGGAAAATACTGAAAAATACATTTGTGTGTGTATGAAATACTGAAAATATCAGAAGCTTTAAAGCATCTTCAAATGCTAAGAAAACTGGAGTTGAAAACCAGATAAGGATCACTGTTTTGTTGTGAAGGGCAGCCTTTCAAAGACTCCACACAGAAAATAAAGTCCTTGGCAAGGACAATGGGTTTTGGTGGGGAGAACGAGAGATAATGAAATCTCCCCTTCCAGCTTCGGCTCCTCACGCTTTTTAATGAGCAGGTAATAAATAGACAAGCGGTTAATTTCGCCTTCACTAGAGTAGGAAGAGATCCTGAAGTCACCATTAAATCCAGCGTGCAATTGCTGTAAATATGACGTTAGAGGTGAAATGAAAGTGATTGCAATTTTCCTGCTTAAGTAAATCTATATTAATATCCAGATGCACCATATTTTCTAGAACCTAACAGATTTTATTTAGACCAATTAGACTAAGCTGAATTAGTGGGTGTTGGCTCCCACAGAACGGAGGACACGATGAACCTGGGCTGACTGCCCAGTGATGAGAGTTATTCTGAAGGCATATCACTGTGTTTTGCTATTGCCCAGCGTGGAAGCCATCAACGCTTTCCGTTTCTGCATTCCAAACTCAGAAACTTCCAGATTCTCTGCACGGACACCCTCTCTTCCACAAGGGAGGGAAGAAGGAAAGGGAGGATGAAAAGGTATTTGAGGTAGAGGGCATGAGAAATGACAAAGAAACCAGAACAATGGAAAGAAAAGAAACAGGGACTCTGTTATGGGTTGGATTCTGTCCCCTTATAAAGCCCTAATCCCCAGCATCTCAGAACGGGACCTTATCTGGAAACAGGGTCACTGCAGATGTAATTAGTTAAGAGGAGGCAACTAGGGTGGGCCCTAATCCAGCGACAAGTGTCCTGTGTAAAAGGGGGAAATCTGGACACAGACATGCACACAGGGAGAAGGCCACTCGAAGATGAAGGCAGAGATCGGGTGATGCAGGAGAAGACAAGGAACGCTGAAGATTGCCAGCAAACCACCAGGGGACAGGACGAGGGATGAAATGACGAGGTCAGTTTGGGCCACGGGAGCCCGAGGGCAGCTGGGCACCCAGGTTCGGGGAGCAGGACAGAGGTGGGGACTGGAAGAGGCCCCAAGGCTGCAACCAACCAACAGCTTCTCCCTTAGTGCCGGCAGAAGGAACCAGCCTTGCAACACCTTGATCTTGGACTTCTGCCCTCCAGGACTGTGAGAGCACAAATTTCTGCTCTTTAAGCCCCTTGGTTTGCGATACTTATCACAGTGGCCCTAGCAAACTAATACAGAATTAGTAAAATAATTGAAGAGAAAAGGGGCATAGAAGCACAGTTAAAAAATAATGAGAAATAAAAAATATTTGAGAAATAAAGGTGGAATCATCCTTTAATATTTCTCTTTTATCCCACCCAGCATTGAAAAGAAAATGAAGAACAGAGCGATTTGCAAAAAAAAAAATACTAGCTTCTTAAATAAATTACTCAAAGAAAACATGTGAGAGAATACACGAGGCCCTAAGAAGACAGACGATGCTGGGCGGTCTTTGCGCCTCCCCCCATAGCCAGGACGTCCTTGGCCCTCCTCTGCACTGGAATGACTTAGCATCGTCTTCCAATGACGAAGACGGCGATGGACTATGATGGTTAAAGTCCGGGTGTCTGGACTTGTTTATTAACTTTAAGTTGGATGCAGGCGACCCAGCTTCCAGATGAGGTCAACAGAGACTATACCAGGCTGACTTTTTCTTATGACAGCTCCGCCAAGATTATGCAAGTGGTGGGACATTCACATCTTCTGAAGCTTTGGTCGTTTTTTCATATGTAAATACATAGTCATATCCTCCAAGAGGGGACCTCTGGGAACCTGTTGCATCTTCTTGTCCTTAGGGCATGCTCTGAATGCCAAAGAGAATGTGGGAAACACTAACCAGGGGTCAGTGTTCCCACCAAATGCAGAGTTACCGAACCACGGCTGGGTGCGATAATTTAGGGGAATGTTAATTTTTGTTTGTTCTCCTTGTATTTTCTCCTTATGCAGTGGCTGGGCCTCTTGGTGCTTTGTGCTTCTGTGAAGCGGACAGGGAGGGTGGTGCACAGAGGAACTGTCTGTCATCGGCAAACCCCAATTGTGCCGAAGACTGGGAGAGAACACCGCCGCCAGCAACGCAGGGACCATAGCGAGCTCTGTGCCAAGCATGGCCTGGAGGGCCTCAGCGCCTAACTAACGAAATATTCACAGCAATTTAATGAGGCAGTAGTTGCTACTATCTAACAATTGTGGAAACTGAGGCATAGAAAGATTAAGTAAAGGACCAGCATCCTTCAGAAGGTGGGAGGGAGGAGACCTTCTCCCAGCCTGGGGAGAGAGAGCTGGGGGGGTGGGTCCTTGAGCTGCGGGCATCGGGTCTGTGCCCTGGCGGCAGGAGGATGAGGGCGTAGAGGAGAGTGCTCCTTACTGAGGGAGAATCCGGGGCGGACATGAGTGGCCCCTGCAGGCCGGGGCACTGTGGGGTCTTCACGGGCACCAGTGCCCAGAATATCTCCCCAGCACCGTGGCACTGCATGGGAACTGAGGATCTGAGTGATTCCTGGGGGCAGGGGTGGGGCTCGTAAGGAGGATTATACCTGAGCAACCTCGGCAGTTTAGGAGTTGTGAAGCCAAATGAAGACGACTTAAAGAATAAGGAAATGTGCTATTCCTCGCGCCGTTGAGGCTACGGCAGGAGCTTGCTTTTGGGCAGAGGGCCAGCGCTGGGAGCTGGGGGGCGGGGGTGCAGGAGCAGAGCAAGGAATAGGGGTGGGTAGCGCAGGGGTGAGGGCTGGGCGTGGGGGAATCCGACGTCACAAGCTCGGTGTCTCAGAGCTTCGGTTTCCTGCTCTCCCCAGCCTCTTTCAGCCCTAACCTGCGTGATTCTAACGACTGCTGGGTTTGAGTGGTGTTTAAAGGAGAGTGGAGTTACGAATCATAACCGCCCAAAACAAATTTGTGTCCCTGGGGTGTTGAGTGGGCCTGGATCTGAATACAGAATCCCTGGCCCAGTGGAAAAGGTCCAAACCAAGTGGCTGCGTTCTGTGTCTGAGGCTTGGTGCTCCGTCCCCACCTGCATGAGGAGCTGGGGAAGCGCAGCCAACACCCACCCTCCCCTCATTGTCTGGGTGCAGGACAATAGTGCTCCGAGCCGTCAGCTTTAGGAGCTGTGGCCCACGGACAAGTCGAGAGGGTGGTGCAGAGAGCAGCTGGGCTGTACGTAAAAGCATTAAGGAGAAACTAAGCAAATAATATTAAAATCAGGGAACCTGAGGGGGAGGGGGCTGCCTGGATCCCTCTCTTGTTAATTCTCTTCTAAGACAAGATGAGGCCCCGCCGACGTGATGGTTGAGAACAGAGGCTTTTCCAGAGGCAGGCGGGGAGCTTTACAGCTTCCCTGGACTCCCTGGATTAGAGAAGACCTCCCTCATTCGGGAAGTCTACACTCCAGGCTGGAGAAGGGGACCTGCAGGCTTGGGGTGGTCTGTTCCAGAATCAGAAATGGGTTAGGGGGGCCAGCAGTCAATAATCAAATGACTGCCCAGACATCGAAGCTCCCTTCCAGAGAAAGACGGGTCTTCAGTGCCAAATCCGAGGGCGGGGAGTCAAGGATGGGGTTGTCAAAGGGCCTTGATGTAGCTCAGTTCGGCCAAGATGAACGAACCCAGATTAAGGAAGGATGTGGAAACATATGTGCCAGGAGACAAGTCGAGGGTCAAAAAAATAGTTGGATAAGGCTTTACCTGAGCACGTAAGACTTTCATATAATCTGTATGATAAATTGTTACAGTTAGGAAAGAACTGCTTACCATCCTTAGAGTGATTAAGGAGAACACTGCAGCTATGAATACAATGCAGGTTCAGACGGCCTCTGGCACAGGACAGACAACAGCATCCTTGGGAGAAATAGCGAGGAAAACGATGCTGCAGTGCTGTGATCACACAGGTGTGTGTGTGTGTGTGTGGGCGTCCCTTCCACCCAGGACCCCAAGGCAGAGTTCAGTCTGAAGACCCTGGCGGGACACACAAGCAGCCAACACCAGAAGCTGAATGAGGGCATACTGACCACCTATTTGAGAACTCAAGCTAAGGATCTTTTTAAAAATCCCCTTTCACCGTAAAATAAAACATTGATACAGAAAACCACGAGATAAATGTGTAGCTTAGTGAATTACTGTAAGATGGACACACTTGTAACCACTGGCCAGGTTATGAAATCACATTTTAAGCCACCCTAGAAACAACTCCCCGCCCCCCGCCCATACCTGGTCTCAGTCACAGCTCTCTCCCTTCTGCCCTCAGTCACAAGAGTCCCACATTTATGGCAATCTCTGCCTTGTATTTCTTCATTGAGCTATCACTGAGGGAGCAGGCTTAGAAACTATAGTCTGCCTTCTGAGTCTATTTTAACCTTCAGGTTCCCTCTCTCTCTCTCTTTTCCAGTACAATCTATCTACGGAAGAACCCAGGTGTTTGACCTCTAGCATCTCCTACAGCCTGGATTTGGTTGCCTGCATTCCTGTGGAGGGGCCCACCATGTTTCTCTGCATATCCTGCAAATTGGCAGCTGGATCCAGAGGCCTGCCCTTTGACAAGACTATAGGACGTACTGAATTTTCACATTGGAAGGCACATAATATCTAGTTTTGACTCTTTTGTGACATTAGCAGCCTTGGATGACCTTTGCCCAGATCCACTGGAGGCAGCAACGTGGCGATGTCCTAATTCTATTTTTTTAATTTTCACTTATTAGAACTCATTTAAAAAAGAAATATGTCCCTCATCTACGCTGTGGTTACCTGGTATAGTTCCCATAGGCAAGGCAGGACAAATTCTTGACTCTTTTTACTTACTGGTTTTCAAGACGATGAACCCATTTCTTGTCATCTTCCAAAGATGACCAGCTAGTGTTTTTCTATCATTATGAACTTGTGAATAAAAACATATTTTGTGGATTTCAATCCATTGCATTTCTCAGCCTTACCAGAGCTCAAAATATTCCATCTCTGGCCAGAGGGAGCTTCGTCTTTTTGGCTCCTGAGTCTTTTTTGCCATGAATCTAGCCATCTTTGAAAGCTTCCTTGCTATCTGATATGATGGGATGTTCATTCCAGGCAGCGGTTGACATTTCCTGTCCCTGTCTCAAACCAGGCATTTCTCCAAGAAACTGATTTCTTTGAGTGGGAAATCATATTTTAACATCATGATCTTGGAGCTAGGAATGCTCATGGCTATTGGGTTGGTCATTATTTGTAGGAATTTTCAATGGACAGAGTTAGGAAACATACGCCGTGGTGTGCACCACAACCACCTTACAAAATTCCTAAGAAAGTTAACAAGCAGCTCTCGGGAGCCTGGATCAGCACACCACCAGTGCATGTGCGTGTGTGTGTGACAAAATACCTCACGAGTTGAAACTGGAATTTCCAGTTCAAATTCAGGATTCTAAGTTTTTACTTAACTCCTTTCCTATTACATCTTTATCTCCATTCTCGCACACAGGAGAATATTCATCTCCAAGGACAAGGGGGATGATAGAGTAGCCCATAATTTCCCATTTGCTTTATCTCACATTTTTTTTTCATATTTACTACACTCCATGCACACACACACAACCTCATAATAACAAACCCAACACTATCAATACCACTTAGGATAACTGAAAATGGTGATACTTTGTGTTTGTGCTAATTCTTCTCTCCTTATTTTTGGTGGTTGAACTATATCTACATTGTCCGAGCATGGAGCCATTACCTATTCCATGCTCCCGTGCAGCCCTCAGTTAGTCTTAGCTTTATGAGTAGGTATATATTGAATGCTTACCACCAGTCCTTGCGTTAAGGTCTCTAGTCATTTTTGGTTGTCTATAGCTCATTCTTAGTAGATTCTTCCGGAAGATGCTTACAGATCTATAATTTCCTTAATATGTATTAGCTTGGTTTGAAAGAGTTGGTCTGCTTTACGGGCATATCTTTTTGTGATGTTAATTTGTTCTTTATTCTTTCTTTTTTATGGAAACTTTGCACGGCTTTTGATGTTGAACTTTTCCATTGCTTAAATTTACGAGAGTTAATAGTCCCATACTTTTAGAAGAAACTTTGGCTCGAGGGGGCTTTTTAAATTTCAGAGAGCCCCGACTTCTGTTGTTTCATATATGGTAAAGTTTGCTTTCTTAGATGTCCCGGCTCTGGTCCCCTTTCCCAATGTTTTCTGGACCTCCGCTCTCTTTCATCTCTGTTGTCCCTGCTCTATTTAGTTGCGATCCTACTCCCAAGAGTTCCTTCCCAGTGGGAGGCCCAGTCTTGGAAAGGAGCGTGGAAGGTCACTTTCAAGAGGGTGCAGAGATGAGCCTGTTCTCGCCCCTTCGTATTTCCTCATTTCATCCCTTTGCATCCATCTGCTACTGACGAGGGGCAAACCCCTCCCAGTTTCAGCTGCTGCTCCCCCTCGGCCTTCCGTACTGTCCAGGGAGTGTTTGCTGGTTATTTTGCAGTTCTTTTGTTCTGTGTCCCCAGTGGCTTGCACTTTGGGGTTTGAGGGGAAGCCCTGTCATTCTGTTTTGGTGAAAATGTTGTCCATGCGTTTGGTTTTTGCTATCTAGTTGATGTGTCTATTTTTACGTGGGGGTTTGGGGAGATCCACTGCCATCTTTCAAGCTAAGGACCTTAACTGGGAAAAAATAAGGAAAACTTGGAAAAGACCAAAGGGAGCCAGCCCTTGTGGCAATTTGACTAGTTTTGTTAGACTGGGTCATTTTCATTGGCGGCCACTCTTAAGTGGCTGACTCAATTCCCTTTGACCTCAGGCATCTTAAAGATGCTGCCTGGAAATGGACAGAGAGATCATTGAAAAAGTCCAAGAAGGATAAGAAATTAATAAGAAGATGAGAAACACGTCCATCAATGTTTCTGAGACTCTACCATGTGCCAGGCACTGTGCTAAACAGTAGGAATTCAGCGATGAGCAAAACACGTTATGAAAGGAGAATGGAGACAAAGAGTAGAGCACTCACAGACGCCAACCACAAGTAAAGAGACAGCATTCTGTTAAAAACGTCATTTTTTCATATTAACAGAGTTAACAGAACATAATCAAGGGGATCCAGAAGAAAACCCTAAAGTACTTGAACAAGAAACACATAAGGTAAACAGAAACTCCATATATATTCCAATATATATTTATATTAATAGGAAATATCAAGGCTCCTCCAAGCCCTCAAGAAGGAAATGTGGTTTTGTTTTAAAGGGATTAAAGTAATTATTTTTTGATCAAGGGTAATGTCAGCCTTCTTGCTCCCAAAGGCCAAAACTGGGTCAATGTAAACAGGATGAATAAGATGGAAATGGATGATAACACAATACAAAAAGGGGAGAATCCTGACTCCATGACAATTTTAAAAGGAGGGTGGGAGGGAAATCTCTTCCTAGAAGAATGGTACCTAATAAATACAGAAGGGATGGGAGAACATTCCCACTTACAGCCACCGTAGCCATAATCCATGCAGCAAAAACCATCAGTGGATATTAAAGCCTTTAAGACACTTGGGAACAGAATCTCCAGGTCCTGTATCCCCCACAGACTATTCATTAATTACAAAGGGGAAAGTGAAGCTTTACAATGGAGAAGCTCCTTCACCAGTGATTAAACTTAACATCATGAGCGATGGGATTAAGTGGCATCGTGTGTCCCCAGTGTGAAACGCTGAGAAGGACAAATATCACCTATGTAGCTTTCCCGTCAAAAACGTTTAACCTGAATCAAGTTATGAGGAAACCATCAAACCAGTTCAGTTGAAGGACAATCATAAAACAGCTCAGACTCTTTAAAAATGTCAATGTTGTGAAAGACTGAAAAAGGCTGGGAATTGTTCTAGATCAGAGGAATGAAAGGAGACTAAAAAATTTGACCATCATATCCACAATCCTTGATTGGATTTTGGGCTGAGAAAGACAAAGCTATAAAGGACATTATTAGGACTATTGGGGAAACCGATTAATGAGATATTAGGTAATAGTATGATATTCATGTTAGATTTTCTGAGGGTGATTACCCTTTTGTGGTAATGTAGGAGAATGTCCTTGCTCCCTGTAGATGCGGGAAAGTGAAAGTGATACCCACATTAGGGTGGTATCAGGAATTTTAAGCTCTAAGTGTGTTTTCAGGTCATCATGTTGTTTTTCAAAAATTAAGAGAAAAACATTAGTTGAAGATGGTGATTGCAAATGTCCCCACCTCCATCCTCCCAACTACTTCTGTGATGGCCCCTTCTGGAAGGAATTGCACCTGTGAGGACTGTGTGTTGCCGAAGGACCAGGTGCTTCCCCCTAGGGCATTTTGTTTAAATATGAAAGCATGTACAAGTCTTCACTTCCTCAGTTAAGCTTATGCCAGAAAGAACGCCCCAAGGAACTTGCTAGTTGGTTCGAAGACTTGATTCTACCCCATTAGGGGAGAGAGTTGGACCCATTAGTTTGCAGCACAGAATGAATTCAAATCAATTCAACCCAACACACATTTACTACAAGCCCCTATGGGCCAGGCTTTGGTTTGGACCAAACCCAAATGAAGCATATTTCCAGCTGTTGGGACTTCAAAACCCAAGGGGTGACATATGTGACGCACACATAAATGGTTCTTTGTGTACTTTACCAATGTAATCAGAGAGGTTGACTTTCAGGGCCTGGATCAGCAACCCTTCTTCGACCAGTTCCTTATACAGAGACTCAATGGTCCTGGGGACAAAGCAGACCAGCTATTCCATGAGCATGCACACAAGATCAACAGTATTTCTGTGAATCGTCACATACGCGGTGAACTTTAACAAGATCTATTTCAAAGTACATTTGAATATATGCAAATAAATCGACTTTTGAAGTGCTTCTACAATTGGGGGAAAAATTAGGCTTTTTAAAAACAATACTTCCACTCATCCATGTGTGTATCTGATATTTCTCGTTAATAAGAATTATATCTTTGGGCATCTGAGACCCACTATAGCGCCTCCAGTCTGTCCTTTCATCAGTCTTCATGATGGCGCAAATATGAAGTAGAAATTACCCAATAGCAGTAACGCAGTGGGCCCATAATTATATATTCAGTGAGCATCTGCAAGCCGTAGTAGATCATTAATCCTTTGTGAAATTGATGCTTCCTTTTAACCCAATAGCATAATGATTTAAAAGAAATATCTATAAAGAACAAAGGCTTATATTGGAATTAATTCTGACATGGAAGATAGAACGTCTAAAGTTGCCAGCATGATGATTTTTAGGAGGATGTTATACTTCTCCATAGTGTTTACAGACGTCAAAACCACTTCTCTAAGAGGGCCTTGGGCATAGAGCCAGCACACTGGTAATTTATACTAACTGAGGGAAAAATGGAGACTGTATCCCATTTAATGAATGAAACCCCCAATGAAACTAACAAGGGCTTGGCTGGCAGGAATTCAGAGAGGTCAAGCTCAAATATTGTTCAGAATAGTCCTTTGAGATGTTTTGTCTTTTTCTTTTCTGTGGACCTTATTCTTTGCTTCTACCCTCATCTTTCTTTAGACTGAAGAATTGTAAATATAACCGTATTTAATCACTTCTTTGACTGTTCTATGATCCAGGTTAGTGTGATTAAAAGAGACTCAAGAACAACAGTCAGATTCAAGCCAAAGACCATCGGGACAAATGTTAATCCAATGGCCCCAGTCTTTGATTGACTGGAATTTTATTCTATCAAATATATTTAAAATAGTGTGCCCTCTGCTGAGAACTAAGAATGCTTTCATTGTAATGGAATTTGGGGTAACAGTATCTGACTTACTTCGAGGAAATATCAACTGTAGTGTTTTAACTTGAATACTTATTTAATATAAACATATAACGAATGCATAAAATATTAACATAAAGTTGACGAGGATCCTCTAAAATGACCAAAACCAAATATACCATGAAGCCCGGAACACAAACCTTATATTTGGATCTTTCCAATGAAATGAACTCTTGTTATGGTATACACCATTTTCAACTTTAAGACTACCTTGAACTATGATAAAAATACTGGTTTACAGTTTATATCAACTTGATGAGAGAAACAGAAGTTGTGTTCCAGTGCTTGGCAGAGAACTAGCCCCAGTCTAGTGACACAGAGTCTTTAGAATTAAAATGAAAATTGGAAGGAGAGGACCAGGTATTTCTATACTTCGGGGCATAAATGTGAACGAAATACTACTGGTCTCTCTTCATTTCACTAGACTATTGCTTGCAGCCCATTTATGATAGCTCAACTGTAAAGAAACATATGCCAAGAATATACTCAATGTTTAATGGATATTGTCCATGAACCACACGTGTGGGATCTATATTGCTAAAGCAGCATTTTATTCGGTAAAGCGATACTTTAAACGCAAGCAAATGTGAATGAATAATTTTAACTTAGCGGTTAGGTTTTATTGGTAGATTTGATTTTGGCTCTGGGTTCTCATTGGATAAGACACTTAGCATGGTCTTCTTCATCTAAAGGACTGTACTTGGTTTGGGGACTAAAGTGAGAACAAAGAAGAAAAGTGGCATTTAAAAGCTACCCAAAGATGCCCGTGGCGCTCTGTGCATGCGTGAGCTGGACCATCTTCACGGAAGGGACTGTGATGCTCCTTGTATCCCCAGGAGGCGTGAGTGTTGGTGCATGGGCGGGTGGGTGCCTCCCCAGGAACGGGCTCCTGGGCCTCAGAATGCTGCCCCGGCCCCTCTTAGGCAGCGGTCAGCCACAGCATCTTGACCCTGAGCCTTTCTCCAAACAACGGGACCTCAAGTGAGGAGACCCACTGTCTTCTAGTCATATCCTGTGGTATCCTGTTCTCTCCACAGCCAAAGCCCTCATCCTGTCAGGCTGTCTTTCCAGAGGCTTCTTGCCAGGGCACGCTGCTAGGCACGTGCACTAGTTCTGGGGTGCTCTGGGCGCCTCTTCTCCTGTGGACACTTCCCAGCTGGCTTCCTCTCCCGTGGATCTTCTCTCAACCAGAGTTTGGGAATGTATCACTGGGGCCCAGAGGGGGCTCGGGGACACCCCAAAACAGGGGAGCAACACATGATGTCCATTAACAAACCCACGGGAAGGGAGGCATACATTCCAAATGAGTACTGACATTCTTTATTAGGGATTTTATTTAAATTCCTTGAAAATATCTGAAAACCTAGGTCCTATTTATTTCCAATGTTAAGGCACCGGAGGGCCATCTCAGCTTAAAAAAAATGAGCATTTAAAATTATTCATTAGTATCAAAGTTCAGCCAATTCAGCTCAAGGAAATGGAAATAGCCCTTTTGAGACTCAGCCTTATCTTTCCTCCAATGGGCATTCATGAAGCACCTCAGTGGGCCGAGGTATGGACGAGAAGGTAAATGGGTACTGTCTCTGCCCTCAAGGAACTCAGTCTTAGCCTCCTCGAAAGCTGGATTAAGATGCTACTTCTTAAGCAATTTCATAAGAACCCCATGAATGTTGAAACTTAAAAGGAGTCACATGATCTCAGAAAAGATGGGGCCCAAGCTTGCCTTCTGGGCCCCTCCTCTTGGCGAGCATCTCTCCAGCCTAGGAGGCTGTGCTTTGTACAGGCAGCAGAGTGGTCCAGCACAGCCCCCTCGACACTTCGAGGATGACAGGGGTGTAGTGTACCAGGAAGAGGTGCCTTTCCCAGGCCAAGGCCGAGGACTTAGACCGTGTCCTGTGCTCTTCTCTGGGATGCCCTCCCCTTCTCACGTGCATTCCAGCCAACCAGGTGCCCTCTCACCTGTCAGCCGTCAGATCTTTATCCTTCTTCCCCTTTTTCCCTTTCTTCCCTTTGTTTTTCTGGAAGAAAATGGAAATCACCAACAATTTAGTAAAAACAAGTGAGCAAATTAGCTCTAGAACTTAGAGAAGGAAGCTGATTTTTGGTGGTGGGTGGGGGAGGAATAGGAGATGAGAAGTCAACTGTGGTACACTGATCATGGAGTTGCAACGTTTCCATGAATGTAGGGATTGGCCTGGAAAGTCCCAAGTTGCTTATGTGGACGTGTCCCCGGGTGGATAGAAAATGAGGTCACCACTGTGACACCTGCACAGGACCTAATGTCTATCCAGCCCTGAGCACTCTGGTTCTATTTTTCTGGGCTCTGGCACAGTGTATTACGAAGGATGAGAGAGCCATGTGCATGGGCAATGAAGCTGTGCTGGTCCTTGGTACCCAATCACCTCCCTCTGTTAGCATCTGGCCCCAAATCCGGTTCCCAAAGGTCTTTGCCGTCAGATGTTTGTGACGGCTTGAGGGACAAGCTTGGATGCGATCTTTCAAACGGTGCTGATTGCTTCACTGTTCTGTTTAAAACATACACGAGTAGCTCCCCAACGCCCCCAGGACAAAGTGAAAATTCCTCCACGTGGGTGTAGAAAGTCTTTCCAGCCTGGCCTCCATCCTCCCTTCCCGGCTCATCTTCCATCTCAGGCCTCCACAGACGACGCGTGCTCCCCGTCACACAGGACTGACCCTTTCCTTACGCTCCTCCTCCATGTCCATCTCCTCATTCATTCATTCATTCATTCATTCTTTTACTGCTGTATAATTTGGGTACAGCAAAGTATACCCGCGTACAGGCTGATTAACGTTTACATTTAATTTGTACATATAACCATGTAACCACCACCCAGTTCAAAACAGAGAACACATTTTCAACACATTTTCATCACCTCTGAACTCTTTCTCATGCTGCTTTCCAGTCTGTAGGTGACCACTATTCTGACTAGATTCACAGTGCCTGTTCTTGCACATGGAATCATGCAATTTAAACTCTTTTGTGTCTGGCTTCTTTCACTCAATACTATGATTGCAACACTCACTTATGTGGTTCCACACAGCAGCTATAATTCATGCATGCTTTTCAGTTTTTTAAATATTAAATTTTTTTTTTGGTGAGGAAGATTGGCCCTGAGCTAACATCTGTGCCAGTCTTCCTCTATTTTATGTGGGATGCCACCACAGCATAGCTTGATGGCTAGGTCTGTGCCCGGGATTCGAACCTGTGAACCCTGGGCCGCCAAAGCAGAACATGTGGGAACACTACACCACTGGGCCAGCCCCTAAATTTTGTCCTTTCAAGAATGTTCTATCAACAGAATCACATAGGATGCAACTCTTTTGCTTTTCACTCATCGTAATTCTCAGGAAATTTATCCAGGTCATCGTGTGTATTGAGAGATCCTTTGTTTTTATTGCTGTTTCCAGTTTGGGGCTGAATTGATTAAGGCACTATAAACGTGTGTGTGTGTGTGTGTGTGTGTGTGTGTGTGTGCGCGCGCGTGCATGCAAGTCTTGTTTCTCTGGGATAAATGCCCATGTGTGCAATTGCTGTCTCGGCCCTCTACCTTGAGCATCCTGGCCCAAATGGCAGGACTGGCTTGGGATGAAAGTGGAAGGAGGAGTCCTAGGAAACAAACTTTGGATATTGGGAGCCAACCGGCTACTCAAAACCACTGTGACATGGAGTGGTGGCAGCTTAAAGTTCAATTCGCCGGCTTCCTTCTGCTCTGGTTCCGCCAGTCACAAAGAACTTGCTCGTTGCTACTGGCCTCCCCTACAGAGCTGCCTACAGGGAGAGAGGACTGGGTATCTGGGGCGCCCTCACTGGCTCCTCTGAGAGTTGTCATCCACTTGGTGGGGCTCGGGTCATAGGAATCTGCAATGATGAGGGGTGGGGATGGTTAGTTTAGACTGTTGACTTTACCCCATTTATAAGCCCACAACCCTGAGGGCTTCCTTCACCAAAGGAAGACAGGTGTCCCTGTAAAGACATGTGTTCCTGTGAAGACAGGTGTCCCTGTGAAGACATGTGTCCCAGTGAAGACATGTGTCCCTGTGAAGCAGCCTGGGGGCAGCCAGGGTCTGCCAGGCAGCATCCCGGACGTGCCACCGGCTGCGTGGGCAGTGGCTCCTTTTCATGATCTCAGTCTGCCCTCTGCCTCATCCCTGAACCCCCAGGCACATTCACTACTCACCTTTTTACCTCCTTTCTTTCCCGTTTTAGCCGGCAATTCCTTTTCTCTGTTCACAGCTAGTTTTAAATTTTTTAGTTCTTGTCTCATCAACTCATCAACCTGGGTGAATACACAACACATCACTTTTAAGTGACTTTGCATGTCCCGCGTTTTCTTTGTGACGCTTAAAAACAGCTTAAATTCCGGGTAGATCATTAACGGGAAATTGTAAACACGTAAATGACTGTGATTAGTGACTTGTTATCAGCACAATGTGAAGGTGTGTTTACCTGCACTCTGATTTCTGACTCCAGTTCTTTCCGCTTCTCCTCTTTGATCAGCTCCGGGTCATAGTCCTGGGGGAAATTCCATGATTCATCTTTATTCTTCCACAGGTCTATACTCCAGAGGGATAAAGCAAAAGAAAATGGACATGTTCTTCAGCATGAAGGTTCATAAAAGCAGTTATTGCAATATAAAACACAAGCTTAATTTTCTATCTTTTTGCACGGAATAAAAGTTTGAATAAAGTAAGTAAGAGAGTGCTAAAATTCATATGCCCTTTTCTTCCACTTCCCAAATGGAAGCAATGGGCTTGTGCAATGTCTCCGAAGTAAAGAGGAAAACTGCTAATGTGAAAATAAATAAAAAAGTCTGATACAAACAGGATCCTTCTATATGATTATAACCATGTAAAGAGCAATATGTTAATTGTGGGATTATACAAGAATGGATGATTATTTTTGTAATATGTTTTCTATTACTTTTATTATTCAAATAATTCACTAAAATATGAAAGATTTTATTGCTAGTTCAACTCCCCATGTGGTTTTCCCTGGCCCCCTATTAAAAGACAACACTGAACACACAAGCAGCCAGGACTTTCCCGTAATTCAACAGCTGTATTTTTGAATTACGTCTTGGATGTTTTTGAAATCATACGTAGTTTACATTTCCCTCTTGCTTTATGCTGGCAGTCAGGAATATGGTTATAAAAATGTGACCCTAGAGAAAATAAGGATCATTTTGTAGCACTGGAATAAATGGAAATACAGTTCATTTCTCAGAAGAGGAATTCCAAATGTGCACCGAGGTGCCGATCAACTGGATCCTGGCAGTGGGACCGGGGTGTCTCCTAGGAGGGGGAGATAAGACTTGTCAGTTTGGGAAGTGAGATCTCTTCCTGGAATCTGTGGACAGAATGGGATGGAAATTTGCTAGAACCAAATCTGCAAGCCTACCCACTCGGCCACTTCACTAGGAACTCATCCTTAGAGCAGCGATGCCCTTCAACTTAGGAAGGCAACTGAGGGCCATGCGGGCCAAGCAGAGGCTTCCCCACCACTGTTGGACAGCAGCAATGACGTGGGAAGAAAGGGGGTCATGTGGGGCCTGATGGCAGGTGATGGCATGAATGAATAGGATGGCGGCCTCTCAACCACAGCCTCCACTATGAACACGACACTCAGATCCGGAGACTGGCCAGGAGTGTCACACAGCCAACAGAGGAAGGAGGAAGTCAACTCAGAGAGGACATCACAGTCACAGACAGAAACATATGTTTGGATGCTCCACAGAGCCAGAGGTGTTAACCATGAAGACCAAGAGTAGAGAAGGTGCTGGAGAGTCATGTAGGTAAACGAGAAAGGAGGGTCGAATCTATTGAATAAATCACAGAGGACCAGGATTAGCAGAAGGGGTGAGAAATGAAAGGAGAAGGGACTAGACATGGCGTGATCCAGGAAAAGCTGCAGATCCTGGAGAGATGGAGAAAAACGGTGACAAGATTCTGAGGCACCACTCAGAACTGGAGAATGGACAGAGAGCCACCCCAAGGGCTCCAGCCATCGGATGCCTACCCAGGCAGCACAGCCCACAATTAGGGGTCTGGTGGAACCGCCATCTTAACACATACCTATTGGTCTCACCGTCTTCGCTCTCCTTATGGACAATCTCTATCTCCCAAGGGGAGAGGAACAAGGAAGGGCAGCTGTGCTCTAGAGACACCTGTGCACCCAAGGAGCTGACACATGTCAGCAGAGCGGAAGTGATGGATGACCAAGGGCTAGGGAGCGTGTCCTTTGAGGGTGATCAGAGTCAGGACCCTGCAGGATAGGACAACCGTAGGAAGGAAGATGGGACATGGAAACGCAGTTCCAGTTTTCCAAAAGTGTGAGTCGGGTCCACAAGCCACAGGCTGAAGACGCTGACGCTGCTCCCAGTGGTTGGCATGGAAATTTTGGGAGGTGGAAATGGTCACTGCAAGGTGTTGCCACACACAGGTCAGGCAGGCCCACCTCGCTTCCTGGACAGACCAGGGGACTGTTGGCTCAGCAGAAGCAGAGCCCGTCTGGATTCCAGGTCTAGAACAGACTCGCAGGCTCATGGCCTTACCACCAGTGAACCCAGGGGAGTGTGGCCTGGCAGGGCCATGCCAGTCACTGGCTGACCACGGTCTCTGCAGGAAGATATGAAGAAGAAGTCTACGGGTAATGCAAATGTATGGGGGAAGATCTTTTAAGACAATGATGCCAACAGGACCCAGAGTTCTTCTGGAGTGGCTAATGTGGACTTATAAGAAACAGACAAGAAATAAATCACAAAGGCGGTAAAATTTTCATGGAATTGATTCACCCACGTATCCCTCTCCAGCAGGGCAGCCATGTGACAGGTGGCCCAGCCACTGGGGCAGAGACGATGGAATGGGATGGTCGTGGAGAGGGTTTGGGGCGTGACTCCTGGATGCCTGTCTGAGGGCGACTGCTGAGGTGGGGACCGAAGTTCAAGGGGTGTCATCACCCAGAGGCGGCAGGTGACCAGCCTGTGACTGAGGTGTGTAGACCAAGGGGGAGAAGCCTGGGAAAGGTTGATGGGGGCCACGCGTGGCAGGAACAGGCACATAGGGAATGGCTGGAAAGCTGGGAGCTGAATTTTCATCATTTGAAACAGTCATTCGCACGAGTGAGAGCCAGTCAGAGAGGTCTCCCCTAGTTTTTATAGTCAGGGCGTGAAAAATATGCACTGCGTAAATTGTCCTTATCAGCCCACTATGTGAAAAAGGTCTCAAGTCATAAATATCTGAGAGTTTATCCTTTTCCCTGGACCCCCTGGATGGTGGATTTTGAGGTTAGCTTGTCGGGTGTGTGTACACTGAAGGCTCAGCTAGTTTACGGTTTTTTCCTTTGAAAGTCATGGCTCATTTTCAGTACTTTTTCTGAAATGGACATAGCCTAAACCGTGGAAAACTTTAAAATGTCAGACTATAATCTGATGTTTCTTTTCAGGTGTTTAAAATCGTACACGTCCCGCCTTGAAAATCCTATAAAGGTTTAAATGCGTTAAAATGTGCTGTTTGCTAATGATTCTTTTTTAACAGATTTCCCCCTTGTACGATGACTAAATCTTCAACAGCACACCCACCTGTCGGAATAGCTTTGTTATTTAAAGGAAGCTGCTCTGATCTTTCCCTAGATTGACTAAAATTGGCAAGTGATGCGCTTAGAAATGAAAGGAACACGGAAAACACGACACGATTATTTATGCAAAAGCAGCGGCACCTCATCACACATTCTGCGCCTGCAGCCGTAACTATGTTTTTCACATAACGCGGTGCAAGCGGCCTTTGCCAATTTCACCTCCCGATCGTTGAAATGGACTTCGTTTTCTGCTGAAACTTTGCTTTTCTCATGACACTTTTGCAGGGGGCACTTCTCAATCCCTTCAGGAATTCCATGGGCATTTATAAATGCAGGAAGCTATTCAAGGGCCTCAAAGCCCCACAGCCACTTGCTCTCTCCTGCAGCCCAGAATGAGCTTTTATCCCGGAGACAGTGAAAAGCGGGGCCTGCGAGGTTTCACACATTGGGGTGGGGGGGGGCGGAGGAGAGGGGGCTTAATCTCGGTGATTAAAATGCTAATGTTTTATTTGAAAAGGAAAACCTTTGATTTCTAAGAAAAGAATTCTACCACGAAGACATTTAATTTCTTTCAGTTTCCAAAGACCCGGCAGGTGACAATTACACAGCCTCCTACTAGGAAAATGACACTTCCCACTTCCTGCTCCCGAGCGGCCACTGTTTGCAGCTCTAGCCTTGATGGAAACAGATATGACACAAAAGGCCCTCTCCTGGCTGGGTCAGCAGATCACAGACTGGGCTTCCCACGGGCAACATTAGATTTCCCGACGAGTAAGTTTCGCTTTTATCAAAATAATCCACGCACATCGTTTTAAACGAAGTCAAGAGAGTATGAAAAGGATTATAATAAAAACTGGTCTAACTCTGCCTTCTGGGGACACTGCCCAATGACATTCAGTCCTGTGTTTGCTCATTCATTAAAAAATGCATTGGGGGGCCGGCCCCGTGGTGGAGTGGTTGAGTTTGCGCTCTCCACTGCGGCGGCCCAGGGTTTCGCTGGTTCGGATCCTGGGCGCAGACATGGCACCCCTCCCCAGGCCACGTTGAGGCGGCGTCCCACGTGCCACAACTAGAGCGACCCACAACTAAAACATACAACTACGTACTGGGGGGATTTAGGGAAGAAAAAGCAGAAAAAAAGATTGGCAACAGCTGTTAGCTCAGGCGCCAATCTTTAAGAAAAAAAAATGCATCGAGTAAATTCAGATTAACTCATAAATCTGATTTATTCATCTATTATTTAATTTGTAAAGAATTTATTCATAAGTCATTTAATTCATGGGCCAGGCACTGCTCTCAGAGCCGGCCGATGGCCGAAGGCCCTACCCTCATGGACCTGGTCCCACTGCAGGGAGGCAGCAAACACTCACATACACACAGACACACACACACACACATGCACACACACACGCACACACAGGCACGCACACATATATCGAAGTCAGATGGAGGGCAGTAAAGTAGGGTCAGGGGTGGGGCACAGGGTGAAGTGGGGAGGCTGTTATCTCATGTGAGTCTCAGGGAAGGCCTGCAGGGACAAGCATTTCAGGCAAAGGGAGCAGAATGTATGAGGGCCTTGAGGCGGGAGTGTGGTTGGCTTGTGGGAGGAAGAGCACAGATCCCACTAGAGCAGAGTGTGAAGGCATCTAGCTTCACATGAGCCCTTAGCTGTTTCTCTCTTCTTCTCCCAATGTCTAAATAATATGCTTACTAATATGCTTGCTAAATAATATGCTACTTCTGGATATACCAGTTCTGGACATGAGCTCCTGACTTCCTGTTACTGTGCATGAGGATCCGGTTTGCTCTCATTTTTCTTTCTCCGTTATTTTCTCCATGTGGTTACATCAGACAAGAAGGGAGCCAGGCCTTCCAAACCCCGGGGGAATCTGTCACCCAAGCATGAGTGTAGGATGATAATGTAGATGCCCCTGGCTCCTAGAAAGCCCTCTGGGAGCCCCTCGCAGACATCCTGCAGGACGGGCTCCACCGAAGTGAGGGAGGAAGAGGAAAATGAGGGAGTGACTGTCAGGAGAAGTGAAGGCCCAAGGATGTCAACTGACAACCTCCAAGAGGGAGGTCTTGGGGAGAAAATGAACCAGAAACGATCTGATGTGTTCGAAGGAGTGGAAAATTATCTGGAAGTTTGGTGATACACATGTAGAATATGAAACAAACGAGGGTGGTTGTAAAGACCAAAAGACAATGTCATGCAAAGTAGTGTCTTAACAAATGGCAGCTACTGTTGCAACCACACGCCTGAGTCCTGGTGGCAGCCCACAGCCAGGCCCGTGACCCCACAGTGTGGGTTACTGTGATTCCTCACTGGGCGCGTCGGATGTTGTTGCTGCCAGACTAATTTACACAAGCCACCCAACTTAGGCCACTGTCCCCACCCATCCACCACCACAGCGCCTGGTATATTGTGTTTTGATGGCATGTGCCATCTTTGTGTCTCCAGGCTAGCTCTGCACCTGGCACACTGGAGACAATCAAGGTTTGTTGAATGAATATGTAAGTGAATGGGCGTTTTGACAGTGATTGCTCTGTGCCATTGTTCATCAAAGAGTTGATGAATTCTCAAACTTGACTATCGGTACCTGCCCAAAGAGGGAGAGCTATGTTTACCTCTCCTGGTTGTTGTGAAGATTAAGTGAGATGGGCATGGAACACGCAAAGCCGTGCGTGTCTTGAGCACCTAATAAATATTAATTCACGCCTTTGACCTCCTTCCTCCCCAAATAAAGCAGTTGCTGAATCCTGCCGATGTCCTCCTTGCCCCTGGCTCCCACTGCAGTTCAGCCCCTCTTGCAGAGTGGGATTCCTGCCACTAGTGGTATGCGACAGAATTTTAGGTGGCACATGGACTTTCTTACTTTGTATAACTAGCATAGCAAACCTGTGACGACTCTGAGATTGTCACTTAGGATGAGCTCAATTTATTGGTGTGAGTCTATTTAAAAAATATACATTAAGGAAAGAATAGTACCGGTGCTGTCCAGATAAGAGCAGAATTCGGGAGGAGGCCCACACATGACTGATGTTTGAAAATATTCTAATTCACATCCTTATTGCATTTTTCAGGAATTTCCAAATAGCACTAATGACCAGGGTCATCTTGGCGGGCCATTCTGTGTTGGGATTTATCTGGAGGGTGAAGTGGAAGCAAAGGCATTGGAAAATCGTTCTAGCAAATTCTAATGGAATTATCTGAAAGACCGATTCATAAGCTCGCAGATCCAGCCAGATGATAGCTGTGCTAATTATAATAATGCTCAACAACGGACCAAAGCATTCCGCGTCAGTGTTTGGGCGCACGTGATAAAAACATGATGCTGTACACACGGTGTTGATTTTCTGAGCTTACACAATCCAGGGGAGACCTTTCTTCCCTTTCATTGCCAGCAAGAGAATGTTCGTGGAAGTCTTAGGGGTTCAGAACAGAATGGAGGTTCAGACCATGTTCTCACCCTGTGATCTTGTCCTTTTACCAATTATATGCCTTTAAGGCACCCAAAGGAATCTTAAAACACAGATGGACAGAAGATCTTGGCTCTGAGCTGCAAGTCTGCAGCCTCTCATGATGGGGCACCTAGTTCTGCCCAACAGACGCTGAGTGCTAGGGCCAGGGGCCATGCAGGGTGGACAGAGCGACACCCCGGGGGCCACGCCCTTCCTCCTAAACCCACCTTTGTACACGTTATTTCCTTCCTCCATCGTAGGAAGAAAAACACTTGGTGACATCTTCCACCCTTCGTCTTCTTCCTGTTGAAGCGGAATAGTACTGTTGTTAATTACAGGCAGAGCTTGTCTGTCGAGACTGGACAGTAAGAAGTGCGTGTGTCGCTACTGCTGTGACCATGGTCAAGCACACGGACTCTTTCCTGGTTTATGGAGGGAACGTCTAGCCCCTCGCCTGCCCCCCTGGGCAGTTGCCCTGCTGGCCAGTCTGAGCAGCGAGCGCTGCGTCCACCAAGCAGGGCTTGGATGGTGCTGGAGACTTAGTTCCCCCTGCAGGTTCACGGAGGAGTCCCGTGGGACACCGGCTTCCCATCCTGGTGGCCTCCCCTGCGGTACCCCACGCCCTGAGTTTGGTCCTGTCGTCTGATGTTCTGGCTCCTTCCAGGCTCTGAAAGCTGACTCCCAGCCGCAGTCCTGCTGCCTTCCTGCACCACGTTCCCAGCATTAAGCTGCTTCCTGTCTGTCCTGCTCTGCCACCTGCCAGCTCTCGGCTGCTATGCACACCTGGGCTGCTCTCCCCCTTCTTACCTGTCCCTTCTCAGGGCCAGGAAGCCAGTCCTGAGCCCCAGCCTGGAGCTGGAGGTCATGCTTCCTTCCTGGAGCCCGAATCCTGCCAGCCTCCCTGCCCTGGGCCCCCACTGCAGAGAGAGCCCAACCACGGCATCCTTGGTCCCTGTCGCTGCCTCTGCGCAGCCAGATCAGAGCCTGCTGGGACACCTGCCACTGCAGGGGGCGGCTCTGCCTTGACCCCCAGAGAAGCCCCCTCTGCCCTACACCGCCAGGGCCCAGCTGCTCCCAATCCAGAGCAGCCAGGCCTTGCAAAGCCTCACCTGTTGTTTCTGTGCAATCATGTTACACCGTACTAAGAGTCAGGTGCCTGATGACCAGCATCATGGTTATTGTCCCCCCACCAAGGGCAAAATGAGTGATGCTTGTCTACATCATGTCCACGAGCAGCTTTCCAAAGCACTCGAAACGCTCTCTGTACAGCTCAGAGAAGGAGAGGCAAGAAGATGATGAGTGTCTCTCCCCAGCTGCTTCCGGAGCAGCCCTTGACTCTGGAGACAGGACGTCCCACATGCTGTGGGGGTCATGCAGCGCCCGTGCCCCCGATCCCTATGTATCTCTCCTTCTCCCCGACCCCAACGGCAGTCAGGAAGACCCAAGAACGAGAGCTCACAAGGGTGCTAAGAACCACAAGGAGGAAGTCCAGGGGCAGGTAGGAGAGCCCCCGCTTCACGGGGTAGGGGGATCATGGGAGACCTGTCTGGAAGCACAGCTTATAAACCACGCGGGGGCTGTTGCGGCCACGGAGAGGGGCCCCCGGCCTTGAGGAAGCCAGGGGAGAACTTGGGCCCAGACATGCCCGGGGCCTCAAAGCCAGTGGAACAACTAACCCACCTTCCAGGAGCCACAGGAAACCAAGTCCCTGTGAGGAGGCCCCACCCAGGGCACAACGCCCAGGGCTGGCACTGCCCAGTCTTGGGACCAGGAGAGCTGGCGATCTGAGAAAAATCTGCTGGAGAAGCAAGAAAAAGACCCGTATTGGGCAAAGCCTGTCTTTGGAGGAAAGAGAGAATTCATGGACAGAAGGGAAGTTTAATTATTTTAGAGATATTATTGACATCTCTCACTCTCTCTCTCTTCAGGTGTCACGAAGGACTCATGGATCTTTAATATCTGTCAATGTGTTGCTCACCATTAAGGTCATTTTTGCCTTAGATGCTCAGATGGCCCTATATGTGGCTTCTGGGAGCCCCTTACATGGTGAGGCTGTGCCTTCATGGGTAGAGGAGGAAGAGGAGGGGGAGGAAGAGGAAGAAGGGGAGGAAGGGGAGGAGAGGGAGGAGGAGAGAGAG